AAGCAGTTTGGTACTGAAGGGATATAGTGAGAGCACCATGCAAGCTTCGCTGTCTGCCTCCCATACAAGTGGCTGAGCTCTTTCTTTTCTAGCTGGATCGGAAAAGAGCACCACACAACGATGTCTCCAAATGAAAGCAGCTCCGGGAAAAAGAAAAAAAAAGGCAACATCTCACTAACATCGATGTCAGCAGCAGCATTGCAAATAATCAGCAAATATTGAAATCCCTTACCGATCATTGATTTCTTCCTGGCCGGGCTTAGCATGCTCATGTTGCAACGTGCATAGCAGTTAGCGAGTGCCTGTCTCTCTGTAAAAGCCTCACATCTGAAGAGGAAGACACAAACATTCCCTTTGCTGTTCATTTAACCTTGCACAGACAGCAGCCTTTCATGGAAACAGCTAAGAGCAGTTTAGGATTCCAGCTCCTCATGAGGTCCTCTGTGTGCGGCTGCAAGGCCAAGTCATTGAGGAGGATGAGGATGATGGCCAATAGTGATGGATCATCCTGCATGGCTTGGTATAGTAACCTAATAAACTCCACAGGTAAAGAACACCGCCGATGCCAAGCAACGTGACTCTTTCTGGTAACAATAGTTTCCCTATAGAGGTGGTGATGGGGGGTGGTGATGAGGAGGATGTAGAGGAGGGGTGGGGGGGATCAGGTGGTCCTCCTGTCTACATTTGGGCATACCTCATTCATTTAATTAACCCCTGGAGATCCTGCGAGGGAACTGCTCTGATTACACAGTAATAGGTCCATCATGCACAATTAGATTCCGAGAGAAACACTACAGTTTGCATGAAAACTCTTGCAGTAAACAATTCCTGCTCGCCTTCTTTCCACGGGGGTAGGCACGCTCCTAATTAACCCTTGGAGGACTGCTCCATTAGCTGAGCGCTAATTGTCACCGCTGCCGCTTCGCACTGTTTCATAACATTGCTCTGAAGGGATATTACAGCCTATTGCACCTCCTAAATTAATTAACCCTCTCTGTGAAAAGGCACAGGCAGGAGCCAGCTCCCACCAGACACACTGACACCTTGGTGTGCCTTCACTGTGTCACTGTTCACTGCACAACACCTACTATACTCATCATGAAAAAAATGATAATACATACTACTGACATACAATTGCTACTGCTGCTGCTACTACTACTGATAATAATACTACATATTACCAACGTACAATAACTACTACTAGAACTAGTAATAATAATACATAGTACTGACATACAATTACTGCTGATACTACTAATGTTGCTGCTGCTACTACTGATAATAATACATATTGCCAACAATAAATATTGCCAACGTACAATAACTGCTGCTACTACTACTGCTAATAATAATACGTAGCACTGACATACACTGAGTGGCCAGATTATTATGACCGCCTGACTTTTGTAGGCAAATTAGCTATAATTTTGCGCTGAAGTTGCTAGAGGGCCAGACCATTATAAATAGGGAAGCAGGTTGTTTACCACGACAGTAGAAGTGATTTTTTTTCTGAAGATATGGGTAAACAATGCGATTTAACAGCCTTTGAATGTGGGATGATTGTTGGCGCTCGAAGCCATGGAGCGAGGATCAGCAAAACAGCAGAATTCGTTAAATGTTCAAGAGCAGCTGTTGTTAAAGTGTTTAAAGACTGGACTGTCAGCTGAAAATCTGGGTCTGAGCGTGCGAATTGTGGCCGTCAGCAACTAGTCAATGTTAGGGCAGAACGGAGAGTGGCAAGACTGGTACAAGGCAACAGAAGGGCAACAGTGCAGTGTCAGATTCCTCGCATCACCTTTCAACATCTCGTGGAGTCACGAGGCGGCCCAACTAAGTCATCTCGTGGAGTCATCTCGTGGCCCAACGAAGTACTGATGGGGGTGGTCATAATAATCTGGCCACTCAGTGTACATTAGCTACTAGTAAAAATAATACTAATACATATTACTAACATACAATAACTGCTGCTACTGCTACTACTGATAATAATACATAGCACTGACATACAATAGCTACTACTACTATTACTTCTACTGCTAATAATAATACTAATACATATTACTAACATACAATAACTGCTGCAACTGCTACTACTACTAATAATAATGATAATAATAAATAGTACTGACATACAATAGCTACTACTATTACTCCTGCTACTACTACTAATAATAATAATACTAATACATATTGCTAACATACAATAACTGCTGCTACTGCTACTACTACTGATAATAATACATAGCACTGACATACAATAGCTATGCTACTATTACAACTACTACTACTGATAATAAGAATACTATATATTGCTAACGTACAATTACTGCTACTACTACTACTACTACTAATAATAATAATACATAGTATTGACATACAATAGCTGCTACTACTACTACTACTGCTGCTACTACTAGTACTACTAATAACAGTGATACATATCACTAACGTTCAATAACTGCTGCTGCTATTAATAATAATATGTAGTGCTGACATACAATAGCTACTACTACTGATACTAATAATAATACTAATACATATCACTAACATGCAATAGCTGCTGCTACTGCTACTATTACTGCTACTACTACTAATTATAATAATGCATAGTACTGACATACAACAGCTACTACTATTGCTACTAATAATATTAATACTAATGCATAACCCTAACATATTACTAACATACAATAGCTGCTACTACTTATAATAGATATTGTAACTAACCAGCAATAGCTGCTGCTACTACTACTAATTATAATAATGCATAGTACTGACATACAACAGCTACTACTATTGCTACTAATAATATTAATACTAATGCATAACCCTAACATATTACTAACATACAATAGCTGCTACTACTTATAATAGATATTGTAACTAACCAGCAATAGCTGCTGCTACTACTACTAATAGTAATAATGCATATTACTGCTAACATACAATTGATAATTTTATTAATATTACATATAATCACTAATAAGATTTAATGCAATCTCTACTCTGATGACTAATACTATATAATAGGGATGTCCCGATACCGATGCTAGCATCGGTATCGGGCCCAATACAGGGCATTTTGACAAGTACTTGTCATAATGCTCCGATACATAGCGCCGAAGCTTGCGCTATATATTTTTTTTTTTTACTTACTTGGAGAGCAACAGCGAGTCGGCGCTGGTCCGGTGTGAGGAGCTCCAGGTGTGGTCCTGTTCTGTCGATGCTGAGAACTCATCGATCGCGCATGGCACGCAAGCGCAGTGCATGGTAGTTGAACTGGACAGGAGCTGTGTGTAGTTGGAGAAGTTAACGGCCGTGAAAAAGGGATGCAGGCGCAGTGTGAGTGGCAACACATGCGCAGAAGGTCCTTATGTGTAGCTGACCTACTGGCAGTACCCGGATGCAACGTCAGAGGTTCGCGAGGTCGATGAGTTCTCAGTGTCGACAGAACACCGGCGACTGTCCAGAGGACCTGAGAGCATTTGCAGGCCACCTAACTTAGGACCCCACCTGGAGCTCCTCCCACCGGACCAGCGCCGACTCGCCGCTGCTCTCCCGCACAGCGCGACCTCACCAGCGAGGCAACTAACAGTGAGTGAGGGCCTGGGGTCCCTCATAAGAACGATTTATTGTATTAGCAGGGGAAAATAGTAAATTATTGTCTGCAGTGTGTACTCTATATGTACTGCATATAGAGTACACACTGCAGCAATAGATTTACTATTATCCCCTGCTAATATGAATGGATTAAATGTTCTATATTACATAATAGTACATAACATGTAATTGTAATACTACAGATCATTTAACCCATTCATGTTAGTCGAGGAAAATTGTAAATCTATTGCTGCAGTGTGTAATGTATATGTAGTACATGCATACAGCACACACCTCTACTACACTACAGCAAAAGATTTACAATTCTCCCCTGCTAACATGAATAGGTTAAATCATGATCCATAGTACATAACATGTAGTTGTATTATGGATTATTTAACACATTCATGTTAGCAGGGCGGAATTGTAACTCTATTACTGC